AATGCATTAAAAATAAATATTTTTATGTGCATGTTTGATTGAAAAGTTAATATGGTATTAAAATAAAAGCCAGAAATCGATTTTAATATTTTGATCAATTTTGCCCATTGCTGCGTTGGTCTTATAGAGTGTTTTTTCCCATTATTCGTATGTTGTGGCCCGCGTGAAACGTCTGCTATGTGTATACAGCTCGGCGGGAAAAAGGTTGAGCACCCCTGGCTTAAGCAAAAGCCTCCTTGTGCCTTGTGGTTAGTATATTTTTCAAGGGCATTACGATGCATTATATTTTAGCATTCGTCATTTATGCTACTCTAATGACAAAAATTAAAATCTTTCAATTAAACGTAGACTAATTTCTGGCTCGCGTAAATTTATCTAATCTAATGAAGAGGTGCAAGTATTCTACGATATCCAAACTAAAACAGACCGATGATTTTACCTCTTTGTAAGTTATCAGTTCTTAAAACAGCTGGCCAAGCGCAAAAATGCATTGTTGTGATGTGGTTTATGCTTTCAAAATTAATGATTATGTATAAAAAAACTTCCAAAGATTCAAGATGGGTGATATGGCAACTATAAACATAAACAGACTGAGGACCGCTTTTAGCAGAGTTAAAGCCAGTCACAGTCGCTTGCATCCATTGTGATGACCTAGCCTTGTCAATTGAGGAAACTTGTTTGATATTTTGATGGTTTATTTACAAACACATGGAACAGTACAGAGACACAAATGTTTACATCTATTATTTGATGACTGAATGATTGAATTTTAGAAGAAACACTGAAGAATGTGCCGGAATGGCATCTCACTCATCTACCTCCGGCAGATTTAAAAACTTTCACTCAAAGCTCGCTGGTAGAATTGACAGATTTCTCTTCGAAAGGCAAACATTAAAATATCTCTTCACAAAGCTTTCTGGTGGAGCTAACCATATTCTTTCGTTGCGAGACAATCACCGGAACCCAAATATCCACACTAAGCTTACTGGCGGAGCTCAACAACCGCTCTCGTCGAGAGGTAATCACCGACTCCCAAAATTCCACACTACGCTCGCTGGTGGAGCGAAAACAACCTCTCTCGTAGAAAGGTAATCACTGAATGATCCTGGCGTGGCACTCGCGCGGACGCAGTACTTCGCATCAGATCAGTCCGCGTTGACACGTAGAGTTTCATAACACGGGTTTAGAGTTCGTTACACCATTCTTCCCCTTCTGCTTATAACACTGAACAAAACTTTAAAAGTTATCACGGACATATCTTCTGAATCTATTATTTTTAATCGAATATAAGCACATATCTAAATTTCATTTTAAAATGCATATATTATTGTGCGAACCAACGAACAAGTAACAATTTACGTATAGTCAGATTTGGTGATCTATCTTTGGGGAGTGTTACATTAAAAAGATATTATTTAAAATGACAAAACAATTCTAAAATTATGAAAAAAAAATTTTTTTTTTTGGAAGTATGTAGTAATAAAAATATTTTTATATTGATACATACATATATATAATTTCTATGACATTGAAAGTATCGTCTTTTGTTTTCAGAAAAATTAATAATTTGTAGTCAAAAGGAATAATTGTAAAACACATAAGAAACTAGTAAAAAAATTAGTTTGTATGATACCATTTTAAACGTTAAAAGTATTCACATGAATTAATGCATCTTAAACAGTATTTAGAAGTATAATTTTTTTATCGAATTAAAAAAGTGGATACTTTTAATTTTAAAACATCCCACCTAAGTTTAAATTGTTTTTTTTCTTTTTATATATATAAGCAAGCTTGACTCTTATTCCCCGTCCTAAGTCGGTTTTAAAAAGAAGCAAGTTCGGAAGTTTATTGTTAAAATTATATTTTGACAGAATTCCTTACCATTCTTTAAAAAGGAACAATCAAATTTAAAATTTAAACACTTGTAAACATCAAGATACCTTCAAAGATATTTTCATGTATAACATATGAAAATTACCCATGTAATTATTCCTTAACATATACTATTCATGTAAAAATCTAAAAACTAATTTTAAAATTTATTTAAAAATTTTTTTTAATAAAGTACATTTGAAAGATTAGGAACACTTCTTATAACCTATGTTGTGATGGGGTTCTATCGCGATTTCCACTAATTGTCCTCTTGGGATTATTTGGGGCCAGAATGGCGATTCTTTCCAACCAACTCAAGAAGAGAACGTGTGTATGCAAATTAGGAATAATATATATTGGAAGGTTAGCATTTGCGAGGGTCGCTAAGTGGAAAAGTGATGCTAGAAGAGATCGCTAAGTTAAGCAAGATAAAGTCTAGAAGAGGAGTCTTCATTCTCGAAGTTTACCTAACGGTGCCAGTGTATATAAGCAAAAAGTGGGTCCGAGATCAACGGAGCATTGCCTAAGCCAGATCCAGCCTGATTAAAGGTGGAATAGACGTTTTAAGGACCGTAGCTGTTTACTCAGGAAATAGCGGTTAAGCTAGTTAATCTAAACTATAAGGATAGTGGGTTAGATTAGGAATTAATATATAAATATAGATTCAGTTGTTAAGTGCGCTAATTATCAGTAATACATTTAGCGTCTACTCACTCGTGATCAATATCCTCTTAGATTAGTATTGTTGCTGTGTATATATATATATATATATATATATATATATATATATATCAACTAAGATCATAATAAATTGATTTTAGTATGGCAGATTTTGGTGGCTCTTCCTTCCTTCCCTCAGACATGGGTCACATTAATAGTGGAGAAAGGGTGTCCCCAACGGATGGGGCACCACAATGTTTTTTATTTAATATAACCTCTTATATAATTAAAAAAAATCATTATTATTTTCTGTACGAAGAAATAGAAAGGGACTTTATTTATAATATAAATTACTTCCCATTATGTGTCTGCTTTGCTGGGTATTTCAAGATGGGTAGTATGACTATATATTCTATTTAAGAAATTAGTATGTAAGTCTTTGTAGTAAACTTTCTATTGTATTCAAATGCATTCCTGTAGCCTTCGCCTTTTGATTTAAAAAGGACAAGACGTAAATACATTTATCTTTTACTCATCTGTAACTCCCTCTCCTCTGCCTTGGGTATCTATTTCCGTTGATCTTCTCGGATCTCTACTCACCGAAAACTACATGTCTGCCAAATTTCAAGTTTCTAAGTACAAAAATTCGAAAACAGGTTCAATTTTATTTATTTATGCCCCGAAATCCCCTCTTCGTCTTAAAAATCCAAAACTCTAAACCTGTTCTTAGAAGATTTTTACTCAACAAAAGAAACATGCCAGCTGAAATTCATATCTATTGGTCTAATAGATCAAAAACGAGATTTTTTTTTAATTAATCCACCCTCGAATCTCCCCTTGGATGTCCATTTCCGTAAATCCGTTCTTAACTGATCTTTATTCAACAACAGTAACATACCTACAAAATATCATGTCTGTACGTCTAACACTTCCGAAGATCTCGCGATCAGTGTGTGAATATGAATAATTTTATATGCTACCATTTAAATGTTAAAATCTAATGATTAAATTTTTCTATCGTTATTTAAAACACAAAGAATTTAATAAATTTTTCTGTGAAAAACATAATCTCAATCAAAGATGAACATGAATCTAATAACTTCGAAGAACAAACTTTTGCTGAAATGACACAATACATCTCTCTCACCTATTTTAAAAGACTTTTGAAATTGTGAATTCATGCAGTCTAAATAAAAAACCACAATTCTTTAAAAATATTTCTACATATGAATCTTTTCATAGAATCATGGAATTTTGTACTTAAAACATTAAAGAAAAGTCAACCCTTTTACATTTCCTGGAAAGTATTCTCACTTTTTCAGAAAAATACCAATAAACAAAAGGAAATGGAATTCAACAGTTCTGGAGTCTCTGCACTCGCGTCTTTTAATTCCCTTTTTAAAGAATTTCTGTTACTTTGGTAAATACGTATTCCCGAGTTAGAGGACGCTAAAAGCTTTTAAGTTTGTCGATTTTTCTTTTGCTTTAAAACATTGATACACGCACGTTTTAGAGGATATTTTAAAAGCGAAGAAGAGTTCTCTATTTTAAAAGCTTTAGCATTTGTTAGAACGCAAATGGTAAATTACTTTGAGGTTAAACTGTTCTCTGATGATAAAAGTTTAAGGCTTTTACCACCTAATTCTGGAACAGAATTTAAAATTCTCTTATTGTTCTGTGGAGTTTTAATTAAATTTTCACAAATATATTATTTTATTTCTACTCAAGTTAAACTTCCTTTAGTTCTTTAGAAAGAATTTAAGTTAAGTTAGGAATCTAAAGGAGATAAATTCAAAATGAAATTAAACAGGACATAATTTTATTTGAGCCGTTTTTTGATAAGATTTTCTTGAACTTATTATATGGGAAAGATAAAAGAGTTAACAGACTTAAAATAAGCTAGATTTTTTTTTTCAATTTTAGACATAGAAATACTTATTGATATGTCACACAGTACAGTTTTTTTTTAGTTTTGAAATCCTTAACCTATAATTAAATAAATAGAATGAGGATTTAAAGATTTATTCGTGCAGTAAATTATAAGTATAGAGTAGAAAAGAAGATAATTTTTAAAATTATATTAGTTAATTACTTTTATGTTAGTTGTAAGACTGTTTTGAATGCTACTTAAGATACATAGTATAATGAACTAAGGGAGCAAAATTAACAAAATAAATTTATTTTAGTTAGTTTTAGCAAATGAAGTGTCATTAATTTATACTTACGAACAGAAAACAAGTATAAAAAAATTAATTCAATTCCTACTTAGGTAAACAAAGAAAAGTTTTATTTTAGTTACTTTCTATGAAATAATTACAATTAATATAAATATGTACATACATATGACAGAATCACAATATTAAACGGCAAAATAGAAAGCGATTTTCTTTTCTATATATAGTTTTGGAGTATCATTTTTTGTTTGTTTCTTTTTATTAATACATAAATCCACTGCTCAGAAATAAGGTCATCCCAGGTAAGATTCGAACCCACAACCTTTGGATTAGAAATCCAACGCGCTATCATTGTGCTACCGGAACAGAACGAGCGATTTTCTTTTTTATATATGGAGTTGGACTATAATTTTTGATATTCATTCATTAATAGAATTTATTAATGAATTAATGCTTGAAAAAACTGTATTAACATCAAGTGTGATCCACTACAAGTTTTAAAAAACTTGAGTGGATGAATAAAAAGTATTTTATGAATTGAATATTTATTATATCAGCGTTTCTCAAACTGTGGGGCGCGCCCCCCTTGGGGGACGTAATAACTTTATGAGGGGGGCGCGAGCATATTGAAAGTCGAAAACAAAAGATTTATTAAAAAATTATTAATTTACTGGTAAACAAAATACTTTCTGATATAAAAAAATATAAAATACACATTTACACTGATATAATACACTTATACATTGTGAATTACTGATACATTTATATTTTAAAATTTAAATTTTAACAACAGTAATTTAAAAAGGGATTTTGGACCTTAAAAATGTCAAGTTTTGGTAAAAATTGCGATTTGTTTCTTATACTAATAATTTTCCCTTTAATTCATAGAATTTTTTGAAAAGTTTTTTTTAATTTATAATTACTGAAATTTTTTTTTTTATTTTACTCAAATAATTGTTAAAATACACTTTTCTTAGTTCGAAAATTTTCCCCCCAATTTTTAAAAATCCCTTGCGTTTCAAATTATGTCATATGTCTTTGAAATTTTTACAAGTTATGAAAGATGATATAATTCACAAATTTGTGTGCATTAAATTTCTAAAGAATTTAGCAGATCAATTTGTTGTTGTTTTGAATACCTTGAATGTGTGATATTTGGGTGAAATATTTCATACAATGTAAAAAATGTATCTTTTTTTTTCATCAGATTTTTTTCCCAAATTTTAAAAAACCCCATGCACAGATATATTTTGTTTTAGTTTTTCTGTACATAAAAACCAAAAATTTTTAAAGATTTTAAAAACCCAATGCGAAAGGAACTTTTTTAAAACAATTTTTAAAAATGAAATTTTTTAAAAAAAAAATCAGTTTATAATATTTTTAAAAAAATATTTTTAAAAATTATGAAATATAATAATCATTTACTATATTTGATTCCTTTTTTCAGCTAATTAAGATAACAAATTTAGAAATTTTTTTAAAGGTCCACCGCCCCCTTTAAAGAACAATTTTTTGATAATTATCAGTGATCCCAGGGGCCCAATTTTATCTTAAAATAATTTATGGTTTATAATAAATTTAAAAACTCCCGGGATTTTAAGTTACACGATTCGCTTCCCAATGCCACCGTTTTCCACGTAGATGAGTGTATTTTGATTTTTTTGAGGAGGAGGAGAAAAGGAATAAAAAGGGAAAAACCCTCTGAAATAATAGTAAACCCTTTCAAAACACTGTCAAGGCCCTTTTTTACTGCGTTCCAGACCCCCTTCTGAATAATTTTATAAATGATTTGCACAAAAAAAATCGAAATTCGGAAAAACTTATATATACGTTCAAAAAAATTAATGCTTTAACTGAATGAGACATTTATATCTTGATGGCACATAAGGGGTTAAAAAGTCTTTGTAGATTTAGTTTTCAAAGAAAGTATTATTAAATTTCAAACATTTTATGTATAAAGGGGGCGCATGTAAATGATGTTTTGAAAAATTGGGTCGGTATATCAAAAAGTTTAAAAGGAAGCACTGTATTATAATTTTTTTATTTTTTTATTATTAAAAAATTTGAACAAGATATATATATATATAAAAATATATATAAAAAAGTGTTGAAGGGAAAAAAAATTTAATTTTCCTAAACACATTATTGAATTTCAAATGATACACATTTGATGAATGCAAGAAAAAATTTCTCTGGGATCAAAAGCAGAATAATATAGCTTTGTATTTACAGATTATTTTTACCTCCTAGTATTGACGTAATATTCAACTGATGCCCGGGTTGCGTTCCCCAATATTATTGGTAGGCATCGAAATTGGAAATAATTTTTTTAAATTTAAAACCCAAGTTTTTTAAAGTTTCGGGAACCCCGAAGGGTGAAGTTAAACCTTATTAAAAAATCGCTTTTTGGAAACAACTCTTAAGCGCGCCGCTTCTCAACTTAAAAATGAGTCATTAATATTTATGAAACATGTATTAGACCAGTGATTCTGAACCTTTTTATGCTGCGTTACACTTTTAACAATTTAAAATTTTGGCTACACTCTAACAATAAAATAAGTTTAAAAGAATTTTACTTATCTGTAATACACTATGTAAAAAGGCTTATGATATTAATTTTCAATGTTAAATAAAATGTTTGACAAAGAAAACAAAATGTTTATTGAGTAAACTAATTATAAATTAATTATAAGAATACATTTTTTAATGCGAAATTTGAATTTGATGATTTTTAATAATTTCAGTTACACTGGGTCGTAAAAATGATAATGCCACTCTGATTTAAAAGTTTTGATCTTTTTTTTTCATTTTTATATTTTTTAGTGCTGAAAATTCGAATTCACACAAATAAGATGTAGCAAATTGCAACAATATTGTTAAAGCTTTTTCGGTGATTATGTGATAATCGCCTCTAATTTTAATCCGAAAGGAATTAAGAGACCCTTTCGATTGTTTTGAAATTAAATCGCGGTTATTACAGAGCGAAATTAGTGCATTCTTCCTCTTCATTCAAATTTAACTAAATTTGGGAAGTAATGAGTAATTCTCTCCTCTAGGGATGTCAAATTGCCAATAATAATTCTATGAACGTCTGAATGATTCGGTTCCACAATTTTTTTTTCTTAGAGTACAATTAATAATTTTAAAAAAAAATTTGGAGGGAAAAATAAGTTGTTGCGGCACAATAGTTAAGAATCACTGTACTGGGCTTTAAATGCTGATGCATTCTCAATCAATGGTGTAACGTACACCCCCGCAATGCAGGGGGCCTAAAACTTGACTGATCACAAGTACGTATTTAAGAGGACACAGTACAATCCAATTGACAAAAATCGATCAAAAATCAAATCTAATATTTTTTAGCCTAAATTATTCTATATATAATTTTCTATAACCTCAAAAAATTTGAAAGCTCTATACTTGAAAAACGCAGAATTATAATAGCTCTTATGTTCGTTTTTATTCACATCCCTACGGTAAATCAAAATTTTAAACTCGCTTTTCTCAGAAAGATAAAATAACTAGTTTGTCTTCATTTAAAATGCTAAGGCTTTTTTTCTATTGTGTCTAATGCTTTGAAAAAAAAATTTTTTTCACCTATTGCCAATAGTACATATTACGAAAATTGGTATGCATTTTTGTCAAAGCAAAATTTATTTATTTAAAAATAATTGAATTCAGAATTTTTACGTTTTTTAAATAATTTTCAATAAGCATTCATAAAAAGAAATATTGTACGAATACCAATTGTGTTATCGCAAAACTCATAACAACTTTTGTTATACATAGTTTGATGTATTTGTAAATCAAATTTCATGCGTGTACCTAAATTTTTGTAGAAGGAATAGCATTTTAAATCATTTCACAAAAATTTCAAGTTTTTTCATTAAAAAATAAAATGGCTAGTCTTTTAAAATTTTTTAAAAAAAACACATAGTATACATATAAAGAAACCAAAAATTTTAAAATTCCTTAAATTAAAATTTTTAAGTAAATCGTATCATGTCCCCTTAACCAATTGGGGCCCAAAATCTGACTTTGAAGGAGGGCCCTAAAATTCTCCGTTACGCAGCTGCTCTCAATTATGCTGTTCTCTTGCCAGACTAATTTCCTGTAAGGATTATTAAATGAATTTCGTAGGTTAAATGGTCTTGGAAAATCCATTATGGGAATTCAGACGATATCTAAGAAATATGAACGAATGTTATGGAATTGAGGACATCATGGTCCATAGACTGACCTTGATGGAGTGATGGTATATAAGAAATGGTGGAAAAGAAACAAAATTGTGCACAAACGTTCTGTAAGCTAATAGTGCCATAACCGAATAGTTATGACAGAGAGAATGCAAGTGGATGATTTTTTATGTGGTTGAATTATCGATCACCTGGAATGTGTGGGCGTACTCAGATTAAAGTTTTCGAGGAATTTGGAGTTGCCCAAAATGTCATCTCTACGCTTTGGTAATGATTACAAGATAAAGGAAATGTCAGTAGACGTTATAGTACAAGTCACCCCTTAGTTTCGACGCCGAATAAAGACCGGTATTTGGCAGTAACTGGCAAAAGAAGCAGATGGGACGCAGCATCCAACCTGTCTCGTCAGCTATCTACAGCCTCGGACAACTGTTTCAAGGCAAACTGTGACAGATATTTGGGACGTATTGATCACTACGCTCACTAGTGGTGGGGGAGATTTTTCCGCACTCGGCCTTTTGCCAGCGGGCAATATAAATAAGAACAATCAATGTGGACATCGTCACAGTAGATTTGTGTAATGTTTTCCAACGAGTGTCCAGGTTTAGCTTGCAGTCTGGTTCAAGTCGGATTTCACAAGGAGAACGTCAGATATGCGTTTTAACCAAGACAGCATCAGTGAATGGTGCCGTTACGGTGGTGCAGGACGAGTCATTTTGGGGGAATTATACTGGGCTCCAGAAGAGATCTGCATTCTCAAATCAGAATTATTACTGGCTAAATTTATAGGTGCATCATTCTGAAACAACATGTGCGTTTGTTTAAGGGTGACATAAACGTAGAATTCGTGTTTATGGATGACAACACTCGTCCTCACCAAGCGAACATTGTAACAGGATGCTTTTAATCTAAAGATATCACCCGTATGGAATGACCAGCATTCTCACCTGACTTTAATCGGATAGAGCATGTGTGGTACATGCTTGAACCACAAGTTGCATCCCGTCTACCACCTTCTACATGTGTACTTCTACCGGAACTTCGGACAGTTCTTACTGAGTGGAGTAATCTTCTCCAAGATCAGCTCGATAACTGTCTACTCAACATGCGTAGGTGTTGCACGGACGGTATTTCATCACATAGGAGAGATACCCAAGGTACTAATCATCA